TAATATTAGGAGAGTGCAACCGTTAATATTTCTTCGCTTCTTCTTTTTTTTTGAGAAAGAGAAAGAGGGAGAAGAAAACTCTAAACAAGAGCTGTACCTGTAACTACGTCGCTTCACTATACTTCCGCTTTTCTCGCGTTGCTTCTTATATAGTGCCGTGCCAGTTCAAGATGTAATAACTCAAGTCCCTGGGGACTCTAGGAATTGTTCCTAGAAAGAAGAAAGGTAAGAAAAAGAAAAAGGATAAGAAGAAGGAGAAAAAAGAGACTTCCAGTTCTTCAGCATTGCTTACAATCGCCGATGTACCATTGTTTATCGCGACGTCGATTTTACACCCCCCCTCCTTACACAGTTCTATTTTACTTTCTTACATCCAATTTTCGAAGGATATATCATTTTTTTTTTTTTTTTTTTGGTTCACTATTTTCAAATAAAGGGATATTTTTCATATATAGAATTTTTAATTTATTTTTCATTGTGTTTTGACGAACATCATTAATAAAAGTATTCATAAATATAATTCATGAATAAGAGTGCACTCTTTAGGAATTTTTAAAATTGTTTTTACCTCGGTTTTTACTGTTAAATAAATTAATAAAAAATTATTTTAAACAAGTTTCTAAAGAACTCTTTTACTAATATTACAATATCAATAATAGTTGTAATAAATAATAAATAAATAAAGTATTTTTTTTCTATTTGTTTCAGGTGAGTTAAACAGCATATGTTCCCTGTCGAGTTTATTTCGTAAGTAAATATATATATATATATTGAAATATAAGTAATTGTATAAATTATAAATAAAATATAATTATCAAAGAAATAATTTAAAAATTCAAATTTTTAATTAACTATATTAATCTCCGTATTCCTTCATTCATTCTGTCCGCAGTTTGAAGTTAGTTTCTGTGTATGCTTTTATTGTTTTTATTTTCTTTAAAAAATATTGTTTGACAAATCGACAATATGCGCAGGTATTTTTTCATGATTTATAATAAAATAATATTACAAATTAGAAAATTTAATTTGTTTATTATATGCTTTTTTCTATAATAACAAATTTCGTTTGACTGATCTAAATGATTATGCAAATTATTCTCCTATTTATTTATAAAAAATACTAGAAAATTGTTAATTATTAAAAAATTTTTATTAAGAAGTAGGAAATATACCCATTTTATGCATAATTTTTAATTTACAAACTCATTTTTTTCTTTTGGGAGAAAAATATTGGGTATTACCTACCGTTTCTCAATATTTTTGTAAAAAATTCTCAATTTTCATAAGGAAATAATTAGCATCAATTCTATTTCTTAATTTCAATTGTTTTAATAAAATTCAAAGCTTTTTAAAAATAAAGGAAAAAAATGTTTATAAATTATATTTGTCAATTGGAAAATTTAATTGAAAATGAAACTGAAAACTTTTGAACTTTTAGAAAAAAAGGAAAAAAATTTTATTGAAAAAAATGTAACTGTTAAATTTATTTACGAATATTTTTAATAATTGTAAAATTATTCCTAAACAATAATTTCTTCTTTAAATATTTAAAATATTTAATTATTATTATTTTTTCGTAGGAATTAAAATTCTTCAAAACATTTAAATTCAAACCTTTTAAAATTAAACAAACTTTAAAAATATTTTTATAAAACATAAAGATAACGATTACTCCGAGTCGAAGACTCGGAGTGATCGATATCTTCATGTTTTATAATAATTAAAGAGGAACGAGTGTTAAAATCTATATTATAAGAATATTGTTACTGTAACTTCTTATTAAATTACTTATTAAATTATTAATTAATTATTAATTATTAATTATTATTAATTATTAATAACTTATTAAATTATTAACAAATTTTTAAATAATTGAATTCTTCTGACGAATTTTAATAAAATTTTTTAGAATAATTACATTTTTCAAGGAATTTGATTAAAATTGTATTAAAAATAATTGAAATTCTGCGATGACTTTTATTATTTTTGAAAATAATTGAATTCCTAAAAAGAATTTTACTACTTTTAAACATAATTAAATTTCTGCGAAGGATTTTATTACTCTTGAAAACAATTGAATTTCTGCAATAATTTGTAACCTGTTCAAAATTAAATTTTTTTTTAGTGTTTTCAACTAAAATTTTTCTATAAATTTAATATTCTTAATAATTTTTGAAAAAGTTTTTTAAGAATTTTCAAATTAATTTGTTTTTAACAGAAATTAATTTTTAAATAAATTTTTATTAGAAAATTTTACTAGAACTTAATTATTTAAATACAAAAAATCAATTTATTGAATATTTGAATGTTTCTTCAAATTTAATTCTTATACATAATTTTATCAGCAAATTTTTAAATAATTAAATTCTTTTGACGAATTTTAATAAAAATTTTAATTGCATTTTTCGAGAAATTTGATTAAAATTGTACTAAAAATAATTAAATTCCTGTGAAATTTTTATTATTTTATGAAAATAATTAAAGGTTTGCGTAGAAATTTATTAAATTTTTTTTAAATAATTGAATTCTCTTGGAAAATTTTATGAAAATAGTGTTAAAATCATTATTTTATGTTATAAAAATATTGTTACTGTAACTTTAAAAAAAAAAATTAAATTATTACCAAATTTTTAAATAATTGAATTCTTTTGACGAATTTTAATAAAATTTTTTAGAATAATTACATTTTTCAAGAAATTCGATTAAAATAATTAAAAATAATTGAAATTATGCGATGAGTTTTATTATTTCTGAAAATAATTGAATTATTGAGAAGTATTACTTATAAAAAATTTGTAAATATTTGAATTACTGTGAAATTTTTATTGTTTATGAAAATAATTAAATATTTGCGTACAATTTTATTAAAATAGTGAATATTAAAAATCATTGAAATGAAGAAAATTTTTGAAAATATTTGAAATTTTGACAAGAATTTTATAAAAAATTTTGAAAATAATTGAATTTTGAAGAAGAATTTTATTATTTATATAGATAATAATTGGGATTTTGTCGAGATTTTTCTGTAAATTTTAAACATAATTGAATTTTGTGATAAGAATTTTATTACTTTTGATTATTACTAAGATTATATTTGAACTCGACATACGAAATGATACTGACTTTAATAATTTTTGCTGGGAAATTTTCTCCCTCTCTTTGCCCTGTTTTTGTTTCGTTCCGTTACTATTGTGATCCCTTCATTGTCCTTGAAATTTCTCCCTTCCATTGTTTTCATAATATAAATTCAGATCCATTATATCAAGAAAGGCTCAATCTTTGTTTACTACCAATGACGTCATCTTTTGTTTTCATACAAACTCAGATAAAGTTAAATTAAAGAAAAATTTCTCTCTCAATTTTTTAAAGTTTTATTACTTAGTTTCAAATTTTAATTTCTTACTAAAAATCTGAAACTGTTCGCAGTCTTTTTCTATTACTTCAAAAGGTTTTTGTGTTCAATACAAATAAAAAAAACTTGAACGTTAGTGAAACATTTATTTATTCATAACAATATTTAGTGACCTATTAATTTTAAATTAAACAGAAAACTTTCTGTCTCCTTCTTAGTCTACTTTCTACAAGAATATTTAAAAATATTCTTTATTAAAAATAAATGCTTTAAATTCAAGTATACTATAAAGTAAAAAATGATAAAATATAATATTCTTTTAACAAAATTGTTTCTTTTTTATCAACAATTTCGATAATTCAGCGTTATTTTTTTCCTTCTTTCTTTTTTCTAAATTAATTTTTGAACTGAATCTTGAGAAAGGAGGTCAAGATTGTTATAGTTTTTCTTTTCTTTTTTGGGTTCGTTACGAGCATTTTGTTTTTTCTTTGTTTTTTTTTATTCTTTAGTTTGGTCGTTTACTGAACTTTAAACCTCCCCCAACAGTTTTAAAGCCTTTTGCTAGCCAGTTGTTTGACTAAAATAAAAGTAGATACCTTTATTTATGAAATATGCAACAGTTCGCCTCGAGATGGTTGTAAACGTTTTCTTCATTCGAAGCAGACGTCTTTGCTTACTTACTTTCTTTATAGAACTTTTTGCACTGCCAACCGTCAAATGATTCACATTCCTGACAGTTTTCCAGTATCAAAATCAGAAAAAAAAAATTATTTTCAATGTAAAAACAATTTCTTTTAGTTTCATCTTTTATTTAATTTTTATCTATAAAATATATTATTTCTTTTTATTAAAAAAAAAAATTTCCAGTAATATAATTAAATGAAAAACTAATTTTATTTAAAATCATTTTTGAGAAGAAGCAAATATTAAATTAAATTTATTTTAATTAAAATTTACATTTTCATCTTCTTCTCTTGATAGGAAAGATTTTTTCTTTTTGAAAATTATTTATTTAAACCAATAAATTATTGAATATAGTTGATATAATCAATAAGTTGTAAGTATCATTATAGAGATATTAAGATTATTTTTTAATAATTTTCAAAAATTTACAATGGAAAAATATTTTTTCTCCAAATCTAATTTATTATGAAGCGTTGCATTGGACTTAGCATAAAAATATTATTAAAACTTCGTGACATATTAATCTCATACAATCTCAATCTAATGCTCAGCAAAATTTTTCTAGAAATATTTTTTTTACAATTTTTATTAACTATCTTAAAAAATTTAAACTAGTTTAAAAACTATTGAAACAACAAATTTCGCAAATCGATCAATATAATAATAAAAGTAATAATAAGAAAAATAAAATAATCAAAATAATAAATATATAATGTAATAAATAATATAATAATAATAATAATAATAAAAATAATAATTATTATAAAGTAATTTTCGCTATATTTATGGTAAAATTTGATTATTATCTAGTTTTATTAATTTTTTAAGATTAAAAAATAATTATTATTAAAAAATATGTTAAATGTCGAAAGAATTTTTTAAGCTCTATATTATTATTATTATTTTTTATAATTTTGGTAGTTTAAAAATTAAATGACCAGGAAAGTTTAATTTAATAGACCACTTTATAATTGATAATAATATTTTATTTATTCATACATAGAATTTTGTGAATGTTTTTTACAGAATGTACTGTTAATTTTTCTTAAAAAATAATTCAAGTTAAAATTTAACAATGATTACCAGGTGCAAATGTAGTGTCCATCTGAAGTTTTCTTAATACAACTTTCTGAAATTGAAATAATTAAAAATTATATTTAATTTTTTTTATTATTTATTTTTAATTCTTTTATTATAGGGTAAGTGCGGGTATAGTCGGACAGTACTAGTAGTCGGACACTTTCGTGTTTTTTGACAAATAAATAATAATGCATTGTGATAATTGCTTTAAAAAGTATACTAGACGAATGTGTGAAGTTTATATTTTATTAAAATAGTGTTATTTTCGAAAATAATTAAACAAGAAATATTTTATTTAATGCTTTAAAAATCATGGTGTCCGACTATAGATACAACCATTTTCGAGTAGCGCGATGAGTGGCACAAAGTTTTGTTGATAATTAATCATAAATATTAAAACTTATAGGGTTTAAATATTATATTAATAACTTCTAATATGCTTTAATTCCATTTTCCAGCAGATAGCAATTAAAAAATTATCTTTTTTACTTTATAAATTCAAAATATCTGACAGATGTCCGACTACTAAAGCATTCGTAATTTTTTATTAAAATGTTTATATTTTATTAAATACTCAACTATTTGTAACAAATTTATATGACTTTTAATCCTGAAGAACTCATTTAATTAATAATGTGCTTATAAACACAGTAGATATTTGCTATTTCAAGAAAAAAAGCATAATTTAAGATTGTATCCTTAAGTGTCCGACTACTAGTGCATTTACCCTATTTTTTTCATTTTTTTCTTCTATTTTTTAGTAATTCTTCAACTGATAATTTTAATAACAATGATAATAATAATAATAATTTAATAAAGTTTAAATGTTTATTTACCAGCTGCTGTCGTATAATTAGAAGATTTATATTTTTGGTCTATGCAGAAGTACAATAAATAAATATTATAGTCTTCTGAGTTGTAAGTTTTAGGAATCTTTATCTCGTAGGTTAAGACGCACTTCTCTAAAATAATAATAATAATTATTATTATTCTGTAATTAGTTTCTTTAAAAAAAATATTTTTTTCTTTCAAAAAATATAATATGTTAGTATTTAAAAGAAATAATTAGAATTTTCTTAACACTTGAAATTTTACATTGTAATTTATAATAAAATGGAAATCAATAAATGAGAAATATAATTACCTTTAGCTTTTTCAAATGAATCGAAAACTTCATTTTTAAGTTTCATGGCTGAAATTGATTAATAATTAAATAAATTCTAGTATGCTAAAGAAAATTATAATACTTGTAATTAAAAAAAGGGTTAATTTTAAAAAGTTAATAATAGTTATTAAATTTATTGTAAAACAATTATATTTTATAAATTGGAAAAAAATGTTTATACTAGGTAATTCTGTAGAAGGTTTTGTTGAATCTTCATTAAGACTGGTTTGTGCGTCTGTGACTGAAATCAAAAGATAATATTAATATTTTGCAGGAAAAAAAAATTATTTCTCCTTTTAAGTGCAATTTAAATTTTATTTTGTAATTTTAATTGGAAAATTTTTAGTGTTAAATAAAGAAATAAAAATAAATTTATACCTTCATTATTTTCTGGTGCAGAAACAGTTGTTCCTTCATCAATTTTAAACACATCGTCGTCGGCTAAAATCAATTGATAAAAATAACATTTTAAATAGTTATAGCGCATGAAGGGAATAAAATTCAACAGAAATAAGAACAAAATATAAATATATTTCACAAAAGACTATTTTATCTTAACTTTTTCTTAATTTTATTTTAACAGTTACAAAAAAAAAGTCTAAATGTTTTTAATGAAAAAAATTTAGTTCTGCTTTTAAGTGCGATTTAACGAAATTATTTTATTACATATATATATATATATATATATATATATATATATATATACTTTAAATTAAAATTCATTTATACCTTTAGTATTTTCCGGGGTAGAATTAGTTTCTTCTTCAGCATTAAACGTTTCGTGGTCAGTGACTGAAATTAATTGATGATAATTGTTAATTGGACATTGAGCAATTTTTATTTAAAAAAAGTAAATCTAAAAATTTATGAAACATTTTTGTTTTAAATTAAAAATTTCTTTTAAAAAAAGAAATTTTATTTTTAAGTTGAGATTTTATTTATTTTTTTTTCAATAATTTTCATTCCAAATTTAATACAAACTTAAATCTTCATTATTTTCTTGTCCAGAAACGGTTGTTGCTTCATTATTCACGTCGATCGAGGCCGAAATAAATTGATGATTACCAATTATAGAGCAGAAAACGAATAAAATTATTGAAATTTTAACTTTCATGTTGAATATTGAAAATTAATTTTTATAAAAATAATTTCACGAAAATTTAAATTAAAGAAAATTTTCTTTTTCAACAAAATGATTATTATTTTAGGATATGTTGAGTTTTTCTTGTCTCGATTAAAATTGCGCATTTGAATTTGAACAAATAGTATTTTTAGTGGAAACTTATAGTTTTCTGATAATTTACATATTTTATTATGAAAGAATGCGACGCAAATAATTTTTTATTTTTCTTTTGTGAAAGAGTAATAGAAAATTATTTCATTTTAAAGACACACGAATTTTTTACAGTGTAATCTACTTTATTTTTTCAAATTTTTTTATATTTTTATGCAAAAAAAAAAAAACTAAAGTTTTAAACTCTTTAGACACACATTAAAAAAATTGGGGTTAATTATAAATTAATCTATAAATTAATAATGAGTTTATTGAAAATATAATTATATAACAATAAATTAATTATGAATTAAAAATGAATTAATTAAAAATTATTGATATAATAATAAATTAATTTAAAATTTACAAATTAATTATGAATTAACAATTAATTAATTAAAAATTAATTAAATACAATAATAAATTAATTTTTTAAAAGATATTGTTAAAATAGTTTTGACAAGCATGTTAGAAAAAATAATTCTTTCTAAAGAGAGTCCAAAAAAAAAGTTTAAATTGTTTAATTTCTTTAAAATTTTTTTATTTTAGTTTAGAAAATTTTTTTTAAATTAGTGAATAATTTGACAGATTATGATTAAAAATATCCTCTAAGAATTAATTGAAAAAATTTTAAAACATTTATAATATTTAATATTTGAAAATTTATAAGAAAAGGAAAAAAAGGCTAGCTAGTATTTATTTATTTTTATTATTAAAAAAGTTTATTACAACTTCAGGTTTCTTGATAATTGTCAAGGTTCCACGTGATATAAACATTTATTTTATATTCCACTAAATTTTATTGTTTTAGGTAGAAAAATATTTTTTATAGTTTAGACATTAAAAAATTTTTATATTTATCAAATTTGGAATTTTGTAACAAAAATATTTTTTAACATTAATAAGCATATGTATTTGATAAAAAATTTCTTAATAAAGTGAAATATTTTTTGAAGAAATCTATTGTCCACATACATTTTTTTTTAATTTAAATTAATTTATAATTTTTATTTTATTTAGTATTTTATTTTTTATTTTACTATTTTATTTTATTATTTTATTTTACTATTTTATTATATATTATTTATTATTTTATTTATTATATAATAATTTAATTAAATTTGAATTTTAAATTTAACATATTATTATCAATAAGCGATTATTATTTTTTTATTGCAATTTTGAAAATGAAAATATTTCATGAAGAAAACGATTTTTATAACTGCTTAGATATAATTCGTTTTATACAAGATTAAAAAATTTTGAATTTTTTTTTTTGCAGTTATATATGTTTATATAAGTCCAATATTGGTATCAAATACAGCATTCAGGAAATGCAAGTCACAAATCAATTTTTATGTGAAATCTTAAACTGATATAAAATACGAGCTCCCGTGAACAGTTGTCATGATCGTTATAGAAATCTTATAAAATCTCGAGACGAGTATTCTTATTTTTTTATTTTGTCATTAATTTAAAATTTTTTTTCAATTATAATCTTTGAGGGAATTTGCACAATTATGACGTCACAGCTTTACACAAATTGTGACGTCATAATAGTTCAAATGCTTTTAATGGGGGGAAACTACATTAGTGTTTTTGAGGGATTTTTTTTTTTGCAACAGAAAAAATGATTTAAATTCTTTTAAACTTTAACATTATTTAAATTAATGTTTCATCAACATTTTAAAATTTTTTCGAATTTTTTTAGTCTAAAATTTAAAAGTTACTCTCACTTTTATTTTCACTGCAATAAATTTTTATTTTGAGGAATTTTAAAAAAATTCTAATAGATTTTAGTGGTTTAGAGGGAAAAAATGTTAATTAATACATTTTAGAAAATAAAAAAATCTTTAAGGCATTAAAAAAGTAGCATTTACACAATTTTTGTAGATAATGTAAGTTTATTTTAAATTGGCATTTAATTTAAATTTTTTCTATTCGTGTAATTTTTTACCTACTATTCTAATAAGTTTGTCAAAATAATAATTCGAAATTTATCAGCGAATAATTTTAAACACAAAAACAAGTATTATAATTATAATTTTCACAATTTAAAAAATTCTAATATTATACCCGTCGAAGACAGGTACGACAGCTAGTTTTTTATATAAAACGAAATGGAAAATAATGAGTGAGAAGAAAAATAAGAATAAAAGTAAATAGAAATTGCAGTATACATCAGGAGAGAAGAGAGTGCCTAGGGATTTACAGCAATATTATTTCTCTGCAATCAATGCGGATACAATTTTCCCAATCAGCTTGAGAGGCTGGTTTGAGGGACAAAATGTGCACTATACTTACTTTCTCAGTCCAAGAAAGACGTAGAGATTGAAATATATAAATGAAAGAGCGATAAAAGGTTTTTTAGTAGCCAATGAGTGTTCTAAGGAGAAAAAAAAAGAAAAAGTTTTAGAAAAAAAAAGAAGAAAAATCAAAAGAGACTTTAAAGGGGAAGATTTGAGTTACATTGAGAAGTCTAGAGGCAATTTCCGAGTAAAATGTTCTTTCTTGAATTATTTGTCCAAGAGGAAGCTTTTAAAGCATTAATGAAGTAATTCGATTTTTAAACGGAACGTTTTATTATAGTCGAAGACTGCTCTGTGTACTTTCATATTGAGAGAACTTTTTTCTTCTTCTTTTTTTTTTAATTCCTTTATTAAAAGCTTCAAAACAAATATTAATTTTCGAAAAGAATTTCCATTGCTGCACTTATTGTTTCAATCTCATGAGACAATGATTTTAAGAATGTTTTATATTTTAATGTAATTTTTTTCATTTCATCTTAACTATACACTGGGGAATAAAATTTATTTGATTCGTAGAAACGATTACTTTTCTATTATTAAATAAATCTTTTAATTTAATTTTAATAAAGGGATAATTTAATAATAATAGATATCAAAAATATTCCAATTCCACTTTTTTAAATAAAATTAGCAATTTCTGACACAAAAAATTTCTTTTTAAATAACTTAAATCTTGAACAACTATCATCAAATAAATAAATTATTTTATGAATAATTTTACTTAAATATTTCAAAATTAATTCAATTTTGAAAGAGTTGCGTTTACAATTTTCATAAATAAATGAACCTCAAACGGTTACAATTTAAAATTTTATAAAACTTCAATGTTGAATTAATTTAATTAGAAATTTTAATGAACTTAGATTTTTGAAAAATTTTAATAATTCAAAATCTTCTAAAATTAGTTAAATTTGTCAATAAATATTTAATTAATTATTAAAAATAATGGATTTATAGAAAAATTTTAGCTAAAAACACTAAAAAAATTAATTTTGAAGAAGTTACAAATGAATCCAGAAAATTAATTATTTTCAAAAGTAATAAAATTCTTATCACAAAATTCAATTATGTTTAAAATTTACAAAAAAATCTCGACAAAATCCCAATTATTATCTTTATAAATAAAAAAATTCTTCAAAATTAAATTATTTTCAAAAATTTTCCTCATTTCAATCATTATCAATATCTACTATTTTAATAAAATTACCCAAAAGAATTTAATCATTTAAAAATAATTTTAATAAAATTGCACGCAAACATTTAATTATTTCCATAAATAATAAAAATTTCACAGGAATTCAAATATTCTAAATTTTTTATTAAAATTCGTGAAAATTCAATAAATAATTTACTTTTGTATTTAAATAATTGAATTCTCGTAGAATTTTCTAATAAAAATTGATTTGAAAATGAATAATAGTTTAAATTTTAGATAATAAATAGAATATGAAAATAATTTTCAAGAAGTTACAGTAACAATATTCTTTATAAATAATAAAATTCTTTTCCGAAATTTAATTATTTTCAAAAATTTTCCTTATTAATTCAATGATTTTAAATATCTACTATTTTAATAAAATTTTTCAAAAGAATTCAATAATTTTATTAAAAATGTTATTTAAAAAAAATCTTAATAAAATTCTAAGCAAACATTTAATTGTTTCCATAAATAATTAAAATTCCACAGTAATTCAATTATATTTACAATTGTTTATAAATGTCTTCTCAATAATTGAATTATTTTTAATACAATTTTAATTTCAATTCTGTTGAAATTAGTTGAATTTTTTAATGTTGTATTTAATATTATTTCCAAAATTTTAACGCAATTCTTAAAAAGAAATCAATTATCTAGATAAATATCAAAATTCTTCACAGAAATTCTATTGTTTTCAAAAATTAAAAAAAAATTCGCGTCATGATTTCAATTATCTTTATAAATAACAAAAATTTTCGCTGAAATTCAATTATTTAAAAAAATTTAAATACAATTCTACACAAACAAAAAAATTTTTTTATAAATAATAAACATTTCCCAGGATTTTAATTATTTATAAATTTTTTATAAATTTTTTCACAATAATTCAATTATTTTTAAAAATAATAAAACTTAATTATTTTTATAAATAATAAAACTCATTGCAGGATTTTAATTATTTTTGATACAATTTTAATCAAATTCCTTGAAAAATGTGATCATTCTTCAAAATTTTATTAAAATTCGTCAAAAGAATTCAATTATTTAAAAATATGTAAATAAAATTCTTTATTTTGAGAAATTTTATGATAATCTAAATTTTATAAGACATGAACAGCATGTGATTGTTAGGTTCTCAATGGTAATTTTTTCGATCACTTTTCTCTTTAAATGTTTAATAAATTGAGTTGAAATTTTGTACGAAAGTCTAAAATACAATAAAGAAGGGCAGTGATGTGCAAAAGTTTTAATATTTTTAAAAATAATTATTTCAAATTACTTTAAAATTATCAGTTGTCACGGTCACTTCTTATTAATTTCTCGTCTTTACCGATTTCAAAGTGTTTTATTATAATTTATTTTTGAATTATTAAAACTTTTGCACATCAGTGCCTTTCTTTATAATATTTTATACTTTCTTACAAAATTTCAGCTCAATTTATTGAATATTTAAAGAGAAAAGTGATCGAAAAAATTAACATTGAATTTCTAACAGTCA